TTTCTTTTTTATGGATTTTGTAACGTTCTTATTCTGATTTTGATGGATTTGGATGGATTCTTATTGATGATTTTGACGGGTTTTGATGGATTTGGGTGGATTTTGACTGAGATCAAAAGGAGAACAAACGCTCGGGAGCTTTTCCCAGCCAGGGGTGAGGAACAGATGGAGCCTCAGTGTCCCCGCTCCTGATCCCAGCGCCGGGAATTCCCAACCAATGGAATTGGATCCCATCCCAAATGAATTTTCCCTTCCTTTGGGATATTCCAAGGAGAAATCTCTGCCTGGGAGGGGAACTTGGGGTCCTTTTTGCTGCTTATGAGAAACGCGGGAATCGCTGGTGGACACCTGGAAATCTGGGAATGGATTGGGACATGTGGGGTTATTTGGGATGTGTGGATTAGTTGGGATGTGTGGGTTATTTGGGATATGTGTGGGTTATTTGGGATGTGTGTGGATTATTTGGGATGTATGGATTTTTTTGGGATATGTGGATTATTTGGGATGTGTGGGTTATTTGGGATGTGTGGGTTATTTGGGATATGTGGATTATTTGGGAAGTGTGGATTACTTGGGATGTGTGGGTTATTTGGGATATGTGGGTTATTTGGGATGTGTGTGGATTATTTGGGATGTGTGTGGATTATTTGGGATGTGTGGGTTATTTGGGATGTGTGTGGGTTATTTGGGATGTGTGTGGGTTATTTGGGATGTGTGGGTTATTTGGGATATGTGGATTATTTGGGAAGTGTGGATTATATGGGATATGTGGGTTATTTGGGATGTGTGTGGATTATTTGGGATGTGTGTGGATTATTTGGGATGTGTGGGTTATTTGGGATGTGTGTGGGTTATTTGGGATGTGTGTGGGTTATTTGGGATGTGTGTGGATTATTTGGGATATGTGGGTTATTTGGGATGTGTGGGTTATTTGGGATATGTGGATTATTTGGGAAGTGTGGATTACTTGGGATGTGTGGGTTATTTGGGATATGTGGGTTATTTGGGATGTGTGGGTTATTTGGGATGTGTGTGGGTTATTTGGGATGTGTGGGTTATTTGGGATGTGTGTGGTTTATTTGGGATATGTGGATTATTTGGGATGTGTGGGTTATTTGGGATATGTGGATTATTTGGGATGTGTGTGGGTTATTTGGGATGTGTGTGGATTATTTGGGATGTGTGTGGGTTATTTGGGATACGTGGATTATTTGGGATGTGTGTGGTTTATTTGGGATATGTGGATTATTTGGGATGTGTGGATTATTTGGGATATGTGGATTATTTGGGATGTGTGGATTATTTGGGATGTGTGGATTATTTGGGATGTGTGTGGGTTATTTGGGATGTGTGTGGGTTATTTGGGATATGTGGGTTATTTGGGATGTGTGGGTTATTTGGGATGTGTGTGGGTTATTTGGGATGTGTGGGTTATTTGGGATGTGTGTGGTTTATTTGGGATATGTGGATTATTTGGGATGTGTGTGGGTTATTTGGGATGTGTGTGGGTTATTTGGGATATGTGGGTTGTATGGAATATACTGAATATATGGCATATGTGGAATATATGGACAATATGGCATGTATGGGATATGTGGGATACATGAGTGTATGGATTATATGGAATGTGTGGATTGTATGGAATATATGGAGTATATTGAATATATGGAATAATTATATGGATTATATTAAAAATATCGGATATATGGGATATATGGAGTGTATGGTTTATATGGAATATGTGGATTATACGGAATATGTGGGATACATGGAATATATGGGATATATGTAGTATATTGATTTTATGGAGTATATGGGATAAAGTGAATATATGGATTATATGGAATATGTAGGATATATGGATTATATGGAATATACAGGATATATGGAGTATATGAAATATATTGAATATATAGGATATATTCCATATATGGGATATGCAGATTACATGGAATATATAGAATTATATGGAATATATGGGAAATATTCCGTACATGAGATAGATTAATTCCATGGATTCTATGGGATAGATGAATTCCATGGATTTTATGGGATGTGTTCCATACACGGGATATATGAATTCCATGGATTCTATGGGATATCAGTTGCTGTCTGTCACGTGTATAAAACAAATGAACGGCTGCAAATGGAAGATTTCTGATAAAACCCAACCATGGCAATGGGGCCAAGTCCTGCTGGGGCTTCTCCAGGATCTTCCCACCCATTCCGGTCCCACACGGATGCACCTGATCCCAAAATCCCTGGATCCCTCTCTCTGGCAGTTCTGGAGAGGACTCGGATGTCCCTCAGCCCCTCCCGGCCTGGCCTTTCCAGGCAGCTCCACCGCTTCCCGGGATGGGTTTGGGGCTCCTGGGACAAAAGGGAGCGTGAGGAACTCAAGGTGGAAAAATGGGATGAGCTCAAGTTGGGAGAGAAACTCGGGATGAGGAAAATAGGACGAGCTGGGATTGGGAGAGAAACTCGGGATGGGGAAAAGGGATGAGCTGGGGATGGGGGAAAAACTTGGGATGAGGAAAATGGGATGAGCTGTGAGGGAAACTTGGGATGAGGAAAATGGGATGAGCTGGGGTTGGGAGAGAAACTCGGGATGGGGAAAAGGGATGAGCTGTGAGGGAAACTTGGAATGAGGAAAAAGGGATGAGCTGGGAGCTGGGAGAGAAACTCGGGATGGGGAAATGGGATGAGCTGGGAGCTGGGAGAGAAACTCGGGATGAAAATGGGATGAGCTGGGAGCTGGGAGAGAAACTCGGGATGGAAATGGGATGAGCTGGGAGCTGGGAGAGAAACTCGGGATGGAAATGGGATGAGCTGGGAGCTGGGAGCGCTGTTCTTTGCGAGGGGAGCGCAGCCGGGCAGCCGCGGGGGCTCCGGGCCGGGGCTGTCCCGGGAGGTTCCCGGAGTGAGGACGTGCGGCTCCGGGGGATCTTCCGGAGGGTCCCTTTGAATTTCAAATGAGAGCCGGGACCTTTGTAGTGGCCGCCTTTGATCCCGGCCTTGCCTCTCTCCTCACCTGGGACCGCGCCTAAACCTGCGCCTAAACCCGTTCCTAGCCCGGTTCCTGCCCGGGGATGTCTGGGCTTGGGGTTTGGGGTTTGTTGTGGTGTTTTCCTCCTGACCTTTTGCAAATCGCGACTGGAAGAAAACCCCCTTTTCACCTTTTCCCCTTTGGGTTTTTTTTTTTTCCCTCTTATCTCGGAACTAATTGGGCTCTCCAAAACCTTTTTTTTTTTTTTTTTCTTTTTTTTCGGAGAGAAAGGAGCGTATTAGAGCGGGGAAAGATTTTATCTGCGGGGCAGAAGCCGCAGCAGGTACTTCATCCCTCATCCCTCATCCCTCATCCCTCATCCCTCATCCCTCATCCCTCGCCGAGCAGATTTGCAAATTTGCCCAAGCCCGAACAATGGATCCTCCTGGCAGCCCCTCTGTTGACTTGTTTAGAAATCCCAGAGGCGTTTCGAGGTAAAAAGGTCAGAGCTGCACCGGCCCCGCTCTTTCTCCCTCCCCCCCCGCC